TGGACAGAATAGTTGCGCTCACAAGAAACGCCGTGGACGTAACGTGCACAGTCAAAACTTCACGAAACTCATATATGTTGTAGCCCTACTCTGTGGCTACAATTCCCAAGTTGAAACGTATCAAGAGGTGAAGTAAATCTCGAATTATCAATTTCGGCGCACAGGGGGGTATGCTGCCATAAGAACTTAATTACAAAGTTCACACAAGTTCACACAAGAGAATTGGAGTAGCACTAAACTAGGTGGAAGGTATGAGGAGGACAAGAGGGAAGGTCCCAAGAGAGTCCCCAACCAAGGAAACCCCATGCCATACAATTCCCTTACCCATAGGCAACTCAACTTTGACCTTTGTCACTATCCCAACCTCCATAATCCACCTCAACCCAACTTGGCCACACTTGCCAACCTGGTTTGGTTTCACCCAACCATTTGGCAGCAACTACAGTAGAAAATACGAATTTCCCAACCCCCAAAAGTCTGTACCCCATATTGATTCAACCCCACAACTTCCCACAGTTGCCACAATCAAATATGAAAATCATACGAACTCCAACGTTCGTAACTTTCTTGTTCGTGCTCCGATTGAAGCGATACTTGGTTCGTCGGAAAGCTCTTGAGCAGAGGAGTCACTTCAGATATCTGCTCAAGCCAAATAACATTCACACACACACTCAGAAAAAACCAAACCGCACAAAACACAAATTCGTTCACACACTCACAACACGCATGCAACGCGCGAACATATGATGGGAGGTAGACAGACGTGAATGCGAATGGTAGCATCACTCAACAGATATTTGTGATGTGAAGGTGCCTTTGTGATGTTCGTGGTGCGGCAGCAACTTCATCCTATCCATTATCGCACACTGGTGTTGCTGTTGTTGTGCAGGTGGACGAGGAGCTTTAGGCTGAGACTGACGAAGGTCTTGTCGGCCGACCCAATTGTTGTGGTGAGTGGAATTGGGGTGGGAATTGTTGGACCAGAACTTACATTGGTCCGTTGAAAGCCCAAAGGCCTTGTAAAATTTAGAACAGTGGCACCCCGGTTGTCGTCAATCTTCCCGTTTGTCGTTGGTCTTCCCGATTGTCAGCGTAGAGGGTGAGTCGTTCTCGTTGCGGCTCGAAGTCATTTTGCTTGAATTCATGTCATATTGTTCAACGAGAAGTGCGGCGCATAGGGCAGCTACTGAGATTGCCCCTTGCTATCAGGATAGCGCCTTGTAGGGCTTCCACTGTGAACCAAGTCCGGTGTGAGAGTACGATGGCTTATGCTGGCTTTGCTAGCTTGCTTGGACTTTATTACGCTATATCTAGGTTGGGTTTATTTTATAATGCATAGATATGCTTGATTTCCTAGGTTAGGTGCATTCCTATGTTATATTTTAGTTATAGCACCGAACCAGGTTACGTGTACCGAACTCAAGCCTATTCGGTTTCCACCGAATTGCTTTCTACTGAGCTCAGGAAGGTTCTATTCGGGACGCTTCGCAACCCTCAGAACATTCGTGTAACACCTGGGTAACTGGCCTTGTGTCGAGACTATATATAGCCTCGTGTTGTACCCAGGTGAATCATTGAATTCAAACTCTCTTTTCTGACCTCGATCCTAGATCCTCACACTTGGTAATCAGAGCCTGTTTACACGCGACAGTTTTTCGACCGCTAAAACCGAGTCTTCAAAAACCGTGGGGGCGACGCTGATAAACATCGATTTCCGGTTCGTAAAACCGGTTCCGTGTTTTTCGCTCCTCCTCGTTTCGGTTTTTTTGAACGTGTGACAAAAGTTAGAAGAAGAAAGAAAGAGGGTTGAACTAGCAGGAATGAGGATACAAATAGCAAAACCCTAGAAGGGTTGTACTCGCTATAGAGCACCCCACTACAGGCTAGAACATAAGATAATATTCTGACAGCAATGTCAGGCATGGAGGGTCACGGCGACACCTACGCGACGACGAGCGACATCGCCAGCCTTCGCACCGACATGGAACAGACGCAGGCGGCAATTCGGCGACTCGAGGCCCTTCTGACAAACCAATCCGCAGTCGCCACCGCAGCAGTCAATGCAGCAGCAAACGTAGCAGCGACAGCACTAGCAGCGGCAGCGACACGGACATTTCACGAACCGATGGCATCACATTCGCCGAACCTCGAAGCAGCTCACCGACCACTCCCTGAAGCATTCGATCCCAACCCGAAAGGATCTGACGTTCGACGATTCGTGGCGACCCTCGAAATTTACTTCGAGGCCATTGGCTGTTCGACCCCGACACACAACGTAGCACGAGTTCGGCTCGCAGCAACACTATTGTGGGGACCAACACTCGAGTGGATTTACTACACTGACGTGGCCCGCGGGGAGAAAATGTGGGCGCAGTTTCCGGCAAACCTCATCGAAAGTTTAGAGCCAATTAATACAACCTACATGGCGCGGCAGCAGATAATCCGACACAAGCAATACGGGAGTGTAGCACAGTAAACGCAGTAGATGGAGCAACTGTTCAACCGCATCACTGACCTGACCGAGGGCGAAAAAATCCAGGCGTACACAGAAGGGTTAAAATTGGAGATTCACCGACAGGTCATCGCAGCGAACTACAATAATTACCGCGACATCGTGCATGCTGCCGAACGATACGACGCTTTGACTCGTGGTCAACCCGAAATACGACGTTACGGGCCAAACCATACATTTGGCGCGGAGTGTTCGGCACCACCCACGTTCGCCGAACCCATCGATATTGACAAATTTGACGCAAAGCAGCAACCGACAAAATGCGATTTTTGCGGCGCAGCGGGGCATCAAATTTTGTCGTGCTACAAATTGAAGAAGGCACTTGCGGCACTACTTGACGGCAACAGTGGAGCACCGCCAAAGTAAAAAACGGGAATCGCCAATAGCCGCGGATCGACCTGACGATCACATAAAGAACTGAAAAGAAGAAAAAGGCGATGACGTGGCGACTTCGGAGCGGGTGAAAAAAAGGAGAAAATGATGGCGCGAATATAAAACGTCACGACCGGCCGACATCAGGGGAAATCGCCAAGGCGAATGGAGGCTCCGCGAAAAAAGACTCTACACTGACCGAGAAACTCCAGCCGAACACCCACGAAATTAAGAATTCGTAAAAAGTATCCTATTAAGATACTCAAACGAAAAATATTGCTTCTTGTGAGAAGAAACGAGAATGAATGACTAAGGAATGAAAGTGATACAAGTACGCAACCCTAGAATTGTGTACCCCATATGGACTACCCCACTAGAGCCTACACAACAGTATAATTTGACACACCCCCATAGGCAAAGTGGGGGAGAACAAGGGGTCACAAGACCAGTCAAGCAAAGCAAGCGCAGGGTGGATCACAAAGTCACCACACATTCCGAGCACAAGTTCAAGGCCACAAGGCTAGTTCACATGCAGGACCACATATATATATATATAGCTAGACAAGCAAGAGCAAGAGTATATATATATATATATATATATGCAACAGTACAAGCAAGGTCAAGAGGTGAGCAAGTGAGGCAGAACAGGCACAAGACCCAGCTGCGTGCAGAAGCGCTGATGATCACAAGGCGCAAGTGCCTTGGTGAAGACATCAGCAGTGTTGGCCTCAGAGGCCACGTACGCAAGTTGCAACTGTCCACGCTGCTGTAGCTCACGAGCAAGAAAGTAGCGGAGAGCAATGTGCTTTGTTCTGTGCTCCAGTCGCTGCTCTCGACACAAGGCCAGCATGGCCTTGTTGTCTACGTACAGGACTGGAGGAGAACGAGGCGGCTCTCCAAGGTCGATCAGCAGGTAGGTGAGCCAGCGTAACTCCTGTGCAGCCATGGCCCCGGCGTAGATCTCAGCCTCACTACTGGAGCCGAGAACAGAAGACGAACGGGTAGCCCGCCACAAAACAGAGCCAGAACCAAGACTGAAGGTGTAACCCTGTGACGACCGCTGCGTAGCCTGGTCGTCAGCCCAAGAAGCGTCCGCGTGCCCAGTGAGGACCACTGGACTGCGCCCTCCAAGCACTAGCCCCATGCCCGACGTACTGCACAAGTAGCGCAACACCCTCTTCGCTGCAGCCATGTGCTCTGGTCGGTGTCTCCCAGGAGCAACATAGCGTGCGAGAATACTAAGAGGGTATGCAAGGTCAGGTCGTGTGCACGTCATCAGGTACATGAGGCAACCAACAAGCTCTGCATACGGGCCACTCGACTCTACGGACTCATCCAAAGGCAGAGCTGAGAGCGAGTGGCGAGTAGGCAGAGGAGTGGCCTGAGGCGAGGAGTACGTGAAGCCGAAGCGCTGAAGGACCTGCTGCACCATGTGTGACTGAGTCAGGGTAATGGTGCGGTGCGCTCTGTCCCGGGTGATCTGCAAGCCAAGATAGCTGCGCAGTTCACCCAGGTCAGTGCACGTGTGTCTCTTCTGCAGCTCGGACATCACGTAGGCGAGTCCAGCAGTGTCAGCTGTGGCAAAGACCAAGTCGTCGACGTACACGAGGATGTAGAACGGCCGCAGAGAGGTGTCGGTGCACAGAAACAGCGACGGGTCGGCACTAGAAGGAGCAAACCCAAGAGCCGCAAGTGTAGTCCTCAGTGTGTCGTGCCACTCACGTGGCGCCTGGCGGAGACCGTAGACTGGACGCCGGAGACTCCACTGGGTACCAAGAGGGAACGACCCAGTGAAGCCAGGTGGGCGGCGCAGCCAGATCTCCTCGTGCAGGCTGCCCTGCAAGAAAGCAGTGCTGAAGTTGAGAGAGTGCAGCTCGTAGTCACGGTGAGCAGCAACGTGCAGCAGTACCCGAAGAGCGGTCATCTTCAGGGTGGGGGAGAAGGTCTGAAAGTTGTCAACTCCCTACCGCTTGAAGACAGGAGGAGAACCCGGCGGCCGCTTCACCCTGAAGATCCACATGCCACTGACGATGTTCGCCCCAGGAGGGGGGACAACGTCAACGTAGGTGCCTGTGGACTTCCAGGAAGCCATCTCTGCATCCATAGCGGCCTGCCACTAAGAGGAGTAGGGACCCTCTATCCCCTCCGTGTAGGAGCGCGGAGTCGGGATGTCAAGTGCATCCGGGTCTCCCTCAGGGGTAAGCAGTACGGACACGAGATGAGGTGAAGCAGCTGCCAAACACTGGAACTCCTCCTGCCTGTCCTCAAGGACGTCCGTGCCAAGGGCACACTCACCCCCGACGGACACAGGACAGACAGACTCAGACTCAGCGACAAGACTAGCAGCGTAGTCTAGGCGGCAGCGAGCAGCAAAGTTGACGAGCTCAGCAACAAGGGCAGACGCAGCAGTAGACTCGAAAGAAGGGTTAGTGACGACAGTAGCAAGGAGACGCGTGACAGTAGGACTGGCAGCAGGAAGAGAGTCCGACTCCGGGTCGGCAAGAGCAGGAAGAGAGGACTCAGGAGGAAAAGGCAAAGGGGCACGCAGAGGAGCAGTAGACAGACGCAGAGACATCCTGTCTGTGCTAGGGACAGGAGGAGGACGCGGACGCGAACCACGACCACTAGTGCCAGTAGGACGGAGAGGCGACGTAGGGCGAGACGCAGGCTCACGACGCTCAGTAAGATCTCCAGTAGGACCAGCGTAGGGAGAAGGAGCAGGCAAAGGGGAGGTAGGCTATAGCGGTGACTGTGACGGAACAGGCTGTGGACCCTCCAAGGGAGGAGGAGGACCAGTAGAAGGTGGAAGACCAAGAACCTGCTGCAGGAGTGGAACGAAGTACGGTCGAGGCCGCGTAGCGAGGCCAGAAACAGCAGGGACAGCACCAGTACCCCCAGCAGGAGCACCCGCTCCAGCAGCACCTCCAGCAGCTCCAGAACCTCCAGCAACACCAGGAGCACCCCCTGCAGAACCGCCAGTGGTAGTCCCAGCGCCAACACCCTCAGCAGCACCAGCTCCCGTCGAACCTGCAGTCCCAGCAGCTCCAGTACTCCCAGTGCGAGCACCTTCGGGACCCGCGACAGCAGCACCCTCAGTAGCCGAAGAACCTCCAGCACCAGCAGCACGGCTCCAGCGTCGGGAAAACCACTCGCGCAGCTCCTCTGGAGAGAGCGGCTCCCGGCGAGACGAAGCACCCGGAGAACCTCCAGGCGGAGCACCTCAAGGCTCAGCACCCCCAGGCCCAGCACCCCCAGGCTCAGCACCCCCAGGTGTAGCACCCCCAGACTCAGCACCCCTAGGCTCAGCACCCCCAGACCCAGCACCCCCAGGCTCAACTCCCCCAGGCTCAGCACCTCCAGTCTCAGCACCCCCAGGCTCAGCACCCTCTGCAGCACCAGAGTCACCAGTGACCTTGTCAGGCTCGACTGCGTCTACCTGGGACACACCTGAAGGGGCAGGACCCTGAGGGGGGAGGGGGTCTACCGGGGGGGGACCTGGTACAAGGAAGAGCGGGGGCGGGGGGAGGGACGGAGTGCGGTAGGGGAAGAGGTGGTAGTAGGGGACCGACTCGTCGAACGTGACGTCCTGGGAGGACAGAACACGGCGAGAGGTGGGGTGGTAGAATTGCCACCCAGGCGCGTCGGGGGGGAACCCCAGGAAGACGCAAGGAGCAGCACGAGGGGACAGCTTGTCCGCAGACAAGTCGCGGACAAACGCCCGAGATCCCCAGACCCGGAACGCCGACGCATCGCCAACCTTCCCCGTCCACAGCAAGGCTGGGGAGGTCTCCGGCCTGGAGACCCTGGGGTGAAGGTTGATCTGATGCGCCGCGTACTTGACCGCAAACGGCCACAGAAAATGGGGGGCATCCGCATGCATCATAGACGTACGAGCGACGTCCATGACCATGCCAACGCGGCGCTCAGCAATCCCATTTTGCTGCGGAGAGTCCGGAAGCGTGAAGGTCTGACAGATGCCTCGTGCACGATAGTAGGCACGCAGAAGGCCAGAGGAGAACTCTCCGCCTCTGTCCGAGTGCAAACGCAGAACAGGAAAGTCTTAGCCAAAGCTCTGCCTCAGCTGGAGACGAGCTGCGCGGATCCAGTCGATCCTCACCTCAGTGACATCACCCTTGCTGCACAAGGGGAAGACTGCGGTGTAACGCGAGTAGTCGTCAATAACGAGCTGGAAGTAGCGCTCGTGACCCTGTCCACGGACGCGGGCTGGGCCCCACACGTCCATAAGAAGCGTCTGCAACGAAGCCTCTGTCGGAGGAAACTGGGAGGAGTGAGGGGCAGCACGCTGGCGCCCCTCGACACAGGGGACACAGGTAGGGCCAAGGCCCTGAGGAAGGGGAGGGAGGGACCGCGGGAGACCAGAAACAAGAAGACGGGAGGCCATGCCTCTTAGCCGAAGGAAAGAGGGGTGACCAAGACGGTGGTGTTAGAGGAGAGTCTCGTGAGACAGGAGACGACACGAACAGGGGGCAGACTCAGGACCAGACCTGGACGCTGCAGCAAACACCTGACCTAACGAAGCGACCCTACCAGACTCAGTAACGGGAGGAGACGCAGTGGTCAGTGTGTATAGGCTCGACCCCGGCTGACGGGTAAACGTAGCCAGGTGTCGGCCTGTGCTAGCCTCTGTACAGTGCGTCACCTGCTGACGCGCAGGAGTGAACTGGTGTAGACCCGCATCCTGTAGGTCAGCACCACTCACCAGGTTCGTAAAGAACGAGGGAAGGTAGAGACCAGACAGGGTGCCAGAGGGAGCCGCCGGACACGGGAGGACTGTGGAGAAGCGAGACAGGACAGGACCCCTAGAGGGATCAGCCAGAGACACTGCAACCGGCTGACTCAGCGGTGTGAGTGTGGTGCAGTCCCGAAAGAAGGAGCGAGACACCCCAGAGTCAAGGGTGAAGGTGAGGGAGGCCGAAGCCGACGTAGTACCTGAGAGCGCAGACTCACCAGTACCTGAGGACGCAGACACACTAGCACCTAGAGCAGCAGCGTCGCAAGCATCTAGGGCAGCAGCCTCACCAGTACCTAGAGCAGCAGTCTCAATGCCGGGATCGGGCGGGTAACACCGGTAACAGTCACCCTCATCACTAATAGACACAGCATACATGGCAGAGAGAATAGCATCAAAGTCAAGATCATAGATGGCAACACCCGCCCTAGACAGCTCGCCCCAGCGAGGGATCTCTGAGGCCTCCGGGAACTAGTGACGCCACGCGTCCGTCAGGCGGCCAAAGCAGCGCTGGGTGGGGTGGGCTCCCCCACACTACTCACCCGCACGGTCGCTGGTGCGCAAAACGTAGGAGCACGGACCAAAACCCCCACCCCGCTGGAGTGCAGTGTACCACTCACGAAGCTGTTGAGGGGACAGGGTCTCACGACCGCGCTGCTGCTGCTGGCGCGAGCCACCACCGGAGCCAATCCTCTGCGAAGACCCGCGACCAGCACCACCGCCACCCCCGCCGCCTCTGCCGCCTCCGCCGCCTCCGCTACCGCCGCCTCCTCCGCCTCCGCCTCCACCGCCGCCACCTCCGCCTCCACCGCCGCCACCTCCGCCACCACCTCCGCCTCCACTGCCGCCACTGACCCTCCCACCCCCACCTCCACTCCCACCGCCACCCCCACTCCCCCCACTGCCGCCACCTCCACCTCCATCGCCCCCGCTCGCTCCTCCTGCGCCCTTGCCCCCCTTGCCCTTGCCAGAGCGGCGTCTCCCGCTAGAGGCAGACGCCGCACCGACCGACTCAAGACCAAGGAGGTCGGCCGCAGCAACAGTGGCAACAGAGGGCAGAAGGGGCGAGGGGGAACACCCCTCAAAGATGGGGGTGCGCGGGTCACCACGAGAGGCCCCTACAGCGACTATGCTCTTCTCAGCCGCTAGGAGGGACTTCTCGAGGAGGTCAACAGTGAGAGTGGTGGGACAGCAGAGAGGAAGTGGTCCCTGACTACGCGAAGGGAGTCAGGGAGGCGAGTGACTATGTAGTTAAGAGTGATGTACATTGGGGGAGGGTTCTTGGCGCAGAAGTCAGGAGGAAGTGCAGCGCGGTAGCGAGTGTCACTAGTACGGAGGTGCGTAATGAGGTCAGCGCCTGTGGGAAAGGCAGCAAGGTCAGGAAAGAGGTACGGTAGCATGAGACGGCTCAGTGCAGCAGTGGCAGGGGAGGAGTAGCGCGCGACTACAGCGTCGTACAAGGTCTGAGCACTCTTGTACTGACTAAAGTGCGCACGCTCGGAGGTAGGGAGGTGGCAACGCACAGCAAGACGTGCAGCAGCGTCGCGCGTGGCCCACTGGGAGCGAACAGTGGCGTCAGCATCAGCAGCAGGGGCAGGGGAAGCGCCAGAGGTGAGGTCAAAGAGAGAGAGGCGGTCTGCCCTATCGCACTGTAAGAACAGCTGCAGGTTATCTACCCAGACCTCAAAGTCAATGGCCCAACCCTCAGCGTCAAAGGCGAGGACAGTAGGGGTAGCCATGACCCTAGACGACTAGCAGTGCAGACAGTAGGGTGAGGGCAGTGCAGTGAAAAGGCGTTGTGCTCACCAGACTGGGCAGGTCGGGCGGCCCGGAAGTAGGGCGGCTCAGCGGCTTGGCGGCTCGGCTGCCGGGCGGCTCGACGGCTCGGCGGCTCTGCTGCTCGGCGTCTCGGCTGCTGGGCGGCGCAGCTGCTGGGCGGCTTGGCTGCTGGGCGGCTCGGATGCTGGGCGGCTCGGCTGCTCTGCTGCCGGGCGGCTCGGCTGCTCTGCTGCCGGGTGGCTCGGTTGTGCTGCTGTAGGGCGGCTTGGCGGTCGGTTGCTCGGTCGGGTGAGACGGCTCGGGCGACTGGGGTGGCGCGGCGGCGTTGCAGCAGGTGACGGGGCCGAGAGCGAGGCGGCGGGGCCGCTGAGTGAGGCTGCGGGGCCGCTGAGTGAGGCGGCGGGGCCGCTGGTAGGGCGGCGGGGCCGTCGATAGGGTGGCCGAGCCGTAAGTAGGGAGGCGGGGCCGCATGTAGGGTAGGGCGGCACGTGACGCCGCAAAGGGCGGCGACGGGCCTTTACGGGCGGCGACGGGCCGGGCGGCGTCGGGCCGGGACAGGCGGCGCACGGTCCGCGTCGGGCGGCGACGGGCTGGGGCAGGCGGCGCACGGGCCGCGTCGGGCGGCGACGGGCCGGGACAGGCGGCGCATCGGCCGCGTCGGGCGGCGGCGGGCTGGGACAGGCGGCGAGGGGCCGGGACGAGCGGCGCACGGGCCGCGTCGCACGGGACGGGCGGCTCACGTGGCCGGGACGGGCGTCGAAAGGGCGGCGGGCGGGCCGCGTAGGGTGGCGACGGGCCGCTAAGGGCGGCGACGGCCGAACAAGGGCGGCTCGAGGGAGGCCGCGACGGTAGAGAGAGGACCCGAAGCGCGACTCGGGCCTAAGCGGAGCGCGCTTCGGGCAGGAATTTTTTTTTTGATGGTGGGCCCTAGGATCAGTTCCCACGAGGGAACCTGCTCGATACCATGAGAAGAAACGAGAATGAATGACTAAGGAATGAAAGTGATACAAGTATGCAACCCTAGAATTGTGTACCCCATATGGACTACCCCACTAGAGCCTACACAACAGTATAGTTTGACATCTTGTGGTTTTCAAGCCTTTGAAAATTTCAGTGGAGATTTAGAGGCCAACAAAAACCCTTTAGAGATTATTAAGGTACTTGAGAAGTTGGGCAAAGTACTATGGAGCGTAGAAAAGGGTCGTACGTTCCGTGGAGTTAATATTCTCTCCCCGCAGCACAGTGTTAAGGCTCCCCGTTGTCCACAGGTGAAGCCTACATAGCTGCAAAGGCTTAGAGGAAAATTCCAGCATCATGAGAAGTTGTACAAGCCTCGGAAAAATCGTCCTACCCCCCAGGTGAAGTTGGAAAGTGCTGAGTCAGGTATAGGAAATAGGGTTGGTAATATCTTTGATGTATCCTATGATCCTATTAATGAGACCCTCGTTGGCTACTCAGCACAACAGGAACCACTTCTCCTCGAGGTGTTATGCAAAGGACGACGCCTCCAGGCTCTGGTGGACAGCGGTGCATCTCACTCAGTGTGTGACCGCGGGACGTTGGAGAAAATTGGGGAACCTTCCGAGGAGACCAAGTTCGTGGCAACGATGGTGGACGGTACGAAACTTCCCATCCACGGCGAAGCATCACTGCAGCTGCACATCGGGGCGCTGAGGTGGAAGCCAACGTTGCCGATCACAAATATCAAAGGGTTAGATTTTATCTTAGGGCGAGATTTCCTGAAGCGGTTCAACCCCGAGATCGACTGGGTCAACAAGAAGGCGTGCATCTACAACAACGGGAAACGAGTGGAGCTGCAAAGCTGGACGGATACAGGGAGCGCGTCAACGGGAGCGTTGTAAGGCCCCGTCCTCCCTTGGGCGGAGCCAACCTTGTGGTCGGATGTGCGGGGGTTGCAGCCGACCTGCAGCAGTGGGCACGGGGGCCACTGCAAGGGCGCCGAGCAGGAGGACGCCGCCCTGGACGCCTGGTTGGCGTCCCGGACGCCTGGACGGCGTCCTGGGAAGCTAGACGCCGAGCTGGGCGTCGCCACGACCACCCGGACGTCTGGTCGACGTCGTGGGCGTCTGCACGGCGTCCGGGGATCCGGACGCCGACCTGGGCGTCGGGTCCCGACACCGACCTGGGTGTCTAGTCGGCATCCTGGGAGGAGGGACGCCGCTCTGGAGGCTTTGGTCGGCGTCCTGGGCGTCTGGACGCCGACCTAGGGATTTGGAAGGGGTTCTAGGCACGCCTAGACGCTGGACTGGGGACGCCGGGCATGCGTGGCCGGCTACGGACTGCGTGGGTCGACCAGGCGTGGTTGCCCTGGTCGATCGGGATACCCGGGCGACGTGCGCGAGTGTCGCCAGGGTGGAGTCTGCGAGGCCGACCTCGGGGATGGTATCCCGAGGTCGACGTGGCTGGTGGGCACAGTCGCTGGCGTGGAGTCTGCCAGGCGTCTGCGTTGTGCACGTGACAGGGAAGTGCGCACCAACCAGCTGCGCGCACCTGCGAAGCAGGTGCACCGTTGTCCTGCGGGTGCAACGCTGTGCAGCCGACTTGGTGCAATGGTGGCACACCGTGGACTTGCAACGTTGGCGAACCGCTACCCTGCTACGCTGGAGCGGTGCGGGCGCTGCTGCGCTGGAGCGCGGTCGACCGTGCTGCGCAAGAGGTCGACCGGCAGCCTAGCTAGCACTGGTGTAGTTTGTGATGCCAATGTTGTTGCTACCATTGTTGTCATGTTTTCCTAGTCAAACTCTTGCCGATTCTCCCCGTGAACTAGCAAGGAGTGTGAACACAAGGAAATGACTAAGTGAACAAACGCAGAGATCACACGAGCACACGTGCCTAGCCCGTAGTCTAGCTCCCGTTGCAGCAGTTATCTCCGCAGAGCGTTCTTGAAACGACACTAGCACAGTTTGAATAGACGGTGAACGAGAGTAACACGTGTTACTTAGCACTGGTTATGGCAGCAGCAGAGGAAGAGAAGCCGAACACAGAGCTACTTGCAGCAGTGAAGGAGGTCTTGGAGCAGTACAAATATATATTGCCCGACGACCTCATGGAAGAACCAGGTGCGAAACCCGTCTCACGTGCACCATACCGACTGAGTCCGACCGAACTGACAGACATGAAGAAACGGATCGAATATTTGCTGGACAGACGACTAATCCGCCCATCCACCTCTCCCTACGGTGCACCAGTTCTCTTCATTCCAAAACCAGACGGCAATTTACGGAGGTGCATCGACTACCGCGCACTAAGCAGACAGACAGTTAAAAACAAATACCCCATACCACGCATAGACGACCTACTGGACCAACAGCGTGGTGCAACAGTCTTTTCGAAGCTGGACCTACGATCGGGTTACTGGCAGATCAAGATGGTGGACAACTCGATCCACAAGATGGCGTTCCGTACCAGATACGGCTCCTACGAATACTTGGTGATGCCGTTCGGACTCTGCAACCCACCAGCAACGTTTGAGGCAGAGATGAATCATATCCTGCGGCCCCTACTGGACGAGTGCGTAGTGGTGTACTTGGACGACATTCTTATCTACTCCAAGAATAGGAAGGAGCACGTGGAGCATCTGCAGAAGGGGTTCGAGATCGTGCAGAAAAACAAGTTCTACATGAAGCTGTCGAAGAGCGACTTTGTTGTGAAGAAGGTGCAGTTTCTGTCCATCCAAACTCCAGCCTCGCTTCTGTGGTCCTTTTCTCGTTGAGGCACAGGTGACACCAGTTACATTCCGCTTGCGCTTACCAGATACATGGAAGCTTCAGAATGCTTTCCATGTCCAGCTATTGAAACCCTATAAGGACCCCAACCAACAGTTCCAGGGACGAGAGCTGCCGCCACCACCACCTGTTCTCATACAGGATGAACCAGAGTACGAAATGGAGCGCGTTCTCACTCATTGGCGCCGCGGCGGCAAGACCCTCGAGTTCCTGATCCGCTGGAAGGGATACGACCCCACTAAGGACAGTTGGGTTGCAGAAGCAGATATGGGCAACGCATGCCGTGCTCTCAATGACTATCTTGTCAAGCAGGGTGTTTCTCATGCCACCCAGCTTTGAGGGGGGTACGTGTGCGAGTACGACGGCTTATGCTGGCTGTGCTAGCTTGCCTAGACTTTATTATGCTACATCTAGCATGGGTTTTTTTTATCATGCATAGATATGCTTGATTTCCCAGGTTAGGTGCATTCCTATATTTTATTATAGTGATAGCACCGAACCAGGTTACGTGTACCGAAATCAAGCCTATTCGGTTTCCACCGAATTGCTTTCTACTGAGTTCGGGAAGGTTCTGTTCAGGATGCTTCGCGACCCTCAGGACATTCGCGTAACACCTGGGTAAGT